TTTTAAGCCATATTCTAGGTAGAGTGAGGATAATAGCAATACTGATTTATTTATGTTTGGTCCCTTTGCATGCATAATATTTAGCATTTTAAGTATTAAAGAAGAGAAAATAAAGTCTTGAATATATTGGATAAAATATTTAATTTTATTATTTCTATAAAACATGGGATCATGAGGAAATAAAAGAGGAATGATTCCTTGTCTATAGAGATTAAGGGGTAGAGCAAAGAATACACTTACCAATGATTTATGAAAATGTGTCTACTGTGAAATGGCTGGGCTTTTTGCTGCTGTTTTTGTTGTTGTTGACGTCACGTAAGACACAAAGAAGCATAAAGGGGCACTTTTATTTCTATATTATCTGTTAGCCCATATGAATGTTAATGCTATTTGTATTCTACAATGACAGTATTGACAAATGTGCCCATCAGTTTGAAGTTTTCTGAAAAATGCTTTTGTGACTTCTGATCTTTCGATGTCACTAAGTGCTGGTAATTTACTCTGTCCACATTTTGTAGAGTATATTGCTCCTCTGATGGAGAATCCTCATTTTAGAGATGAGAAAATTGAGAGTCAGATAAGGGGCAGTATAATATATTGATTAAAAGCCTGGGCTCTGGAGCGAGACCACCTGGTTTCAAATCCTGGCATTGCTAATTACCATCCGAGTGACTTTGGTTAGTCCAGTGGATTTATTGGTAGAGTTAGAGCTGATATATACAAAGCACTTTGAACCCTTGCCTGGAACATAATATGTTCCAATGAGTGGTAGCTACTATTGTTGCTATAATTTTTATTAGGTGACCATATACATTATCCTGTCAGTCTTGGATCAGTGTTTTTCTCTCTTGCCCATACGCTATTACCATGACACATGCCGCCCTCCTAGTATGCTGTGCTGCAGTGTATCCTGTCTCTCTCTGAAAGTCAAAGACACATGTGGAAAAATGGGGCGTGTGTGAATTTTAGAACTGTCCTTGGTACAACACAGAGGATTACTTACCTGTATGCCAACTGGTAACTGGTACGGAGGAAACCAAGTCTAAAACTAGAGAATATTTAGTTCAC